CAATAAAAGTTACTTTTATTTAGCTGGAGAAAAGTATGATGCATCCATATAATGATCTGGTCTTTCCATCTACCCACTGCTCTGATGGGTTCCTAGATACTTGTTTACATTGTGATGCAAAGCTGTGAGTCATCTGCATAGTTATGGTAATGTTTTTGTGTTTGTTTGCTTTAATCTGAAATAAAGGAATATGTAGATATTGAATAGGAGGGGCCCTAGAATGGAGGAACCATTGAGTAATGTGATTTTCTGGTCTCTGATTTAAACTTCTCTACTGACAAATAGAAGTCCATGTCCTTCAGATAGGATTTAAACCAGGGCATTGTGGTTACAGAGGGGCTGACCCCGTTTTCACAACTTTTCTACATTTTTTTCCGTCTTGAGTTTTCATGTTGAGGTGACAGATTCAGCTGTAGTGTTTGATTGAAGATAAGCTAGGGAAGTGGCACAGACAAAAAAAAAAAAAAAAAAAATCTTCCGTGAATGTCAACAAGTCAAAATAAATGACTGTTGACTCCAGAAAGAAGTAGACTAGTCACACCTCATTGCATATCAATGGAGAAAAACACAAGGTTTGTGTGCGTAAACATAACAGGCAACCTGACCTGGCCAAAGAATACAGAATTCTTTTTACAGAAGCTCAGCAGCAATTTAACTGGAAAATCCATTCCAGCTGTTAGCAACATATAGTACCAATTACAACAATAACAATTGCGTTACTCCATGGCGAAGCAGCTGCACGTGTGCTGCACCAGACAATTGTGTTCAGACACTGGTGAGCTAGGGAAACTATCAAGACACAAACACTATCTTCACTGCTGAAAAGGCAGGAGGAGTCTTCTCGCAGACCAAAAGACTCATAATCTCTCAAATAAATAAAGCCAGCAAGCCAACAAAGAAAAACCTTGTGGCTAGAACTGACTGCATCATCTGGTAATTTTTTGCATCTAAGTATGTAAATATGAGCAGATATAAATACTTATTTCCATTTGATCATAATTAATGACTTTGTTTTAGTTATTTTTATCACATGATTACTTATGAAATTATTTATCTAGCAACAGCAGTTTTTTTGTTTTTTATTTTTTAATTTGGTTTGGGATATTTTCCTTTAATCCCCAACCCCAGCCATCCCACATTTGCTTGTGTAGCTCCAATACTTCACTGTCACGTTGAGGCACAATATGCTTTAACTGTAGCTCTGGAGAGATTTGTGATTAAGTGAGTAGAGAAACCAGTCTACCTGAACTTCCTGAGAGGCATTTCAGTCAGTGGGAGGTGTTCAAGGTCCAGGAGAGTTCAGTTAAAATGTAAATACCAGAAAGCTATCTACTGTCCACATGGTCTAAAACCTCAACAATGTCCGTAAAGCTGTGCATGTTCAGTCTTTCTGTAAATGCCTAAATGCTCCTTCTTAGTTTCTTATTTTTTTACCCATTTTTACCCATTTCGTAAAGCAAAATAAACTGAACATCTTTTCAACCATGATTTAAATTATCTCAGGAAATCTGCAGTTTCTTGAAAGAAAATATGTTTCAGACTAATATTGAATAATATCAGTATACTACTTAATTCTATCAATCCTCCTATTTTCAGATTTGGTAGCACTGTTTAATTTTTTTTTATATTAGTTTATACTTGGCAGAAAATTTGAACTACATTTGTATTGTACTGATGCTTAGATTCCTGGGGAACAATATTGAGGGTTGTTGCAGTACCTGTGTTGGTTGGTGAGACAACATCAATTGTCTTGCTCATCTCAAGATTCTTGGTCAGATGACAGAGCATTGGAATCTATATCTGGATGTACAGTAGGTATGTTTCTAGGTGTAAGCCAAAAAAAGACAACCTTTTTGACCCAGGGCTGACATGGACGGCAGCAGTTACCGAGGTAAAGGGTGACAGACTGGTGTCCTCATTCCATCAACACATGCTTCTATGCCAGTTCTACATTTATTTTACTAAAGGCCTTTTAGTTGCTACTGAATCCATGTCAATCAGGTGCTTCTGAAATTAAAAAAAAAAATATTTAAAAGAACCATATTTTTTGCTAATCAGTAAACTTAGGTAATTGACTTAAATTAAGTTACAAAATGTACAGAACATTTATTTCAATGCAGGCAAAATCTAATCCACTGTCCACTAATCCAACTAAAACCAACAAGGAGAACATGAGGCAAAAGGGAAGAAAGGAGTCTACAGAAACTGGTCTGAATGATTTTATTAACAAATGACAAAAGAGAGCAAATACATTGGGGATTGAATGATCTAATGCAGCACAGAGGAAGGATGACTACAGATAATGACAATATACATGAAGAAGCTCAGATGGAGGAGTTACAATCTAAACAGAAAACAGTCCAACAGAATAAAACAATCAAAAAAACAACCAGACATGTATCATGCTGTGCAAAATGATTTGTAAAACTTGCTGACCATAAGAAATACCATCGTCGTTCGTCAGAAGGTGTGGCTCTAATTTGTCTTGACTTGCCCATCTTTGTCAGGTCTTCATCAGAAAACAAACAACAAAAGAGAGAAATTAAGAACGCATAACATCTTGCGTTTTAATGTGTTGTCAAACCTGTTTCATGTTTTTATTTTTAACTGTGCAGTTGGAAATCAGCATGCATGCGTGTACATTGTCCTGTGTTGTTCTCACATCCTGAGGCAAAAAGCCGTTTTTAAAGTGTCAAGACAAGAGTTGTGGAAATGAAAACATCTACAACACACATGAATACCGGTGTGCTACACCAAACCGCTAACATTAAAACATCAGATTTGACACAGAATGTCTACAGAATAAACTGTATTAGTATTTCCAAGCCTTTGAAAGGGTTTAGATTTTCTTAATTCTCTATTTCTTTCTCCTTCATTTGATCAGAATGCATTGGCATGAGCAATCTTTTGACAGACAGTGTTTCATAAGACCAAAATTAGTACAAAATAATAGAGAACCACTGCTTTGCACTGGAATGCACTTTGTTTTTAAATGTTGCAGTTTAAATATTAGTAGATAAATTGATGGGTTAATGGGGTTAAACATGATTATTATCCAGATAAACGTGATATTTTGAATAATTTCAGTTCAGCTTTGTTTGTTTCTTTTAATTGAACTAAAGTATTTTTAGTAAAAAGGTCCCTCACATATTAAGTATAGATTGTATGGATATAAATAGTTATGATAAATCTTAATTGTGAGTAGTTAATGATATTACTGGCTTACCTGAATTGTGGCAACCATAGCTGATTGATGCTTGATTCGTGTGTAGTACAAAGTTCTTACTAAAACTTACAGTAAGAGTCAGCTGCTAAAATCCAAAATCATTTGATCCAGTCCAGTCACAAAATAGTTTTAACGACTGATCAAATCTCGATATTTTAAAAGAATAAAATTGCAATAAAACATAAGCCATGCTTTTTTGTTATGCCGTATTTTAGATCAATTAAAGACTTAACGATAGATAAAACCTATTTTAGGAATAAGTCTCTGTGACGTACAATTTGAAGAAATCTTATAGTTATCAGTCTACTTCATGACTGCAAATCAGATAAAGTATGGTAAAACCCATTCTTTTCCTGTTGGAGTTAGTGTGTTGCATTCCATGGGAGGTCTCAAAAAACAAAATTCCCTAAGTAATGAACCACACCTATAACCTATAATTTGTATTTACTCTTGTTAATATCTTTTGTTCTGCTTTCTTCCACCCCTTCTTCCTCCTTCCTACCTTCTAGAGCTTAAATAGTGACACAGACTAAACGGATGTCACAGATACTTCTGGGCATCAGAGGGATTCAGAAATATACAGCCTGAAATTCATATCTGGGGATTGAACATAATACATTAGAATTATTTAATCTGAGGAAATTTCTTTTGAAATAAGGAAAAGAAGATATAAAGGTGAGTAGAATAACAATTTCTTTTTATTTTTATTCATTCACTTTTTAATGCATTTAATTTTACACACTTATAACTGTTGAATGTGCTAATTTTTTAGACCATGGTTAAATAAAAAAAAAAAAACTATGTAATTAATAAATTTGATTTTTTTAGAACTTTGAAATGTTATCAAATAATAATAAAGTTACATTTTATGTTGGACATTTTGGAAATAAAAAGCTGAAAAATTATTCATTTTTAATTTAACCCTTTATGATGAGATAATTAACGCATTTAAGTTAAAATCTAGAACTTTACCTCCACAACAACCTATGTAAGGCTTGACTCATATATGTTTTTTAATATAAATAAAGATAACTTATCTAATATATATATATATATATATATATATATATATATATATATATATATATATATATATATATATATATATATATATATATATATATATATATATATATATATATATATATATATATATATGTATATATATATATATATATAGGCACAGGTTGGCAAGATGAGTATCCTCCTTTTGGAGATGTCCTCTTAAACTTAGGCAAAGCTCTCAAAACATGACCTATTAAATCTATCTTTCCCTTTCTTAAAAGCATGGATAAGCGATTGGTCATCAGTGTTGTGTTGGTGATGGCATCCTGGGGATTCATTGCCATCAATGCCCAGACCACGACTGTAGCACCAACCACAACAGTAACTGCTGGAGCAACAACCACTGGGGCAGCTACTACTACTGCAACAACTGCTGGAGCAACAACCACTGGGGCAGCTACTACTACTGCAACAACTGCTGGAGCAACAACCACTGGGGCAGCTACTACTACTGCAACAACTGCTGGAGCAACAACCACTGGGGCAGCTACTACTACTGCAACAACTGCTGGAGCAACAACCACTGGGGCAGCTACTACTACTGCAACAACTGCTGGAGCAACAACCACTGTGGCAGCTACTACTACTGCAACGACTGCTGGAGCAACAACCACTATGGCAGCTGGTACTACTGCAACAACTGCTGGAGCAACAACCACTGTGGCAGCTTGTACTACTGCAACAACTGCTGGAGCAACAACCACTGGGGCAGCTACTACTACTGCAACAACTGCTGGAGCAACAACCACTGTGGCAGCTGGTACTACTGCAACAACTGCTGGAGCAACAACCACTGGGGCAGCTACTACTACTGCAACAACTGCTGGAGCAACAACCACTGTGGCAGCTACTACTACTGCAACAACTGCTGGAGCAACAACCACTGTGGCAGCTGGTACTACTGCAACAACTGCTGGAGCAACAACCACTGTGGCAGCTACTACTACTGGAACGGCTGCTGGAGCAACAACCACTGTGGCAGCTACTACTGCTGTAACAACTGCTGGAGCAACAACCACTATGGCAGCAACTACAGGTGGAACCACTATGGCAGCAACTACTGGTGGAACCACTATGGCAGCACCTACTGGTGGAACCACTGCTGTAGCAACAACTGGTGGGACCACCGGTGCAGCAACAACAGGTGGGACCACCGGGGCAGCAACAACAGGTGGGACCACCGGTGCAGCAACAACAGGTGGGACCACCGGGGCAGCAACAACAGGTGGGACCACCGGGGCAGCAACTACTGGTGGAACCACTGCGGCTGCAAGTACTAATGGAACAACTGCAATTTCCACTGTCCCTGCAATTTCAGTAAGTGATAGAAAATAACAAAAGTAATAACATAACAAAATTAGAAATTAGAAGTGATATATAACTTCTACTGGATTGTTTTTAAAGTTTAATATTTGAAATAAATGTCTTAACACCTGCAGGAAAGTATTTCTAGAGGAGATTGTGGATCCACAAAGCTCTGTGCAGAGGAACCCTCAGAATGTGATCCAACTACTGGAGACTGCTTTTTCCTTTCTGCCAAGCAAAACGGACAAAAATATGATTTTGAGCTCTCAGGGCAGACTGATGGTTATATTGCTGCTGGTCTCTCAGAAACCGCAAGTCAGGTATTGCATGTTTGCATATTTCTCAAAGAAAGTAGTATAAAATTTAAACCAGAGCCACTAGCGTAGTTTGAGTCTAAAGGGTTATATAATAAGCATGCCACTTCATATTTTTCAACAGAACAGCAGACATACAGCCTACATCTGTGCAAGAGACAATAATGCTGTCCGTTTCTTCACTGGATTCATTGAGGATTCTAGTCTCAATGTGACTAATGTGAGTTAGATTCTAATCTAGATCTCGATAATGTGAGTTATCCTTTGTACCCAAGTGAATAGGGGGTGGGGGCAGATTGGTCAGTTTCCATGACCAAAGTTTTGAATTGACCTCATGGTTATACATTCAGTTAATCAAACTGTTTTCTCTTCAGTCATTGGACTCAAGCAATGTGCAGGGCACAGTCAGCCAGGGCAAAGTCCAGTGTATATTTACAGCTGACCTATCAAACCCAAGGACCCGAGCATCATCAGCAAGTTTCTCTTTGTCTGTTACAACTGGACCTTACGATGCCAGTAAGCAATCAATAAGCAACCACGAGAAGTACTTGTCATTTACAGTCCAAGAATATCAATTCTGGAATCATCTTGTGTTTTTTTCCAGGTACTGGGGTGCTGGGATCACCAGTATTTAAGATACTTACGCCACGTGTAAACCTTTCTGACCCTTCTGCCAACATCACCAATCAGCTGTCCAACGACACCACCTCTTCATCTGCTTATCCAGTCACAGCCACACAGTCATTCTTGCCAGGTAAGGTTAAAGTAGAAAAGCTGTTGGAAGTTTGGATTCCCCCATATAAATGCCAGATAATAAAAAAAATATAATAAAAAAAGTTATTGAATACAAATTAATATAACAAAAAACAGGGTTATTTGTGCTTACATCACAACTAAAATGTGATAAAAAAAATCTAGTAAAATACTTTAATTAAAAGTTCTTTATTAATTTAGATTTTTTCTACAGTAAAGCTGTTTCAGTGTTTTGATCTCATCCAGCACACGTTTTGAATTAAATCAGATAGATAAAAGGTGAGAAGGCTAAAAATGGAGTGATAGAAAAGAAGCCCTGTAACCCAAAGACTAGGAGCTCATCATTAAAGATAAATATCAGAAGAAACATACCAGCCATAGGCCATTGGAATGAATAAATTGCGGTATTACTACTGTAGTAAAAAAAATTGAAAGGGTTACTGAGAAAGGTATAAGAAATTCTATACTTGCCAATATTGAACAAATTAAGTTTTTCCTTTTTGTTTTGTTTTTATTTGATTTTTTATGGACATTACCTCCTGATTACCTCTTCTTTGAAAAGACGCTGACGGGGATGAGACTAATTGGGAGATCTGGTGTCCTCCCTTTTCAAAGTTAGAAAATATGGATGATTTTTTGTTATGTCTATATCTGTAGATCAATCACATTATTTTCCCCAGATATTTAAAAGAAGATAGTAAATATGCTTTTCCTCTTCTAAAATTTGTATTTAATAGAGTGTCATAATTTGTATAATCAAGTATAATGACACTCAAAGAAATTTCTTACCAAGGCTATGTATAGCATCCAATTTTTATACGTTGCTTACGGGATAAGCAGTTTCTTGATCGAAAAAAGAAAAAACAGAGATTATTACCATTAAAATGTGCCTTCTCTTTCTCTCTTTTCTCCCTTACAGCTCTGCTGGTCACCGTGTGCATGATAGCTTTCACTGCAATGTGAAGCAACTGACTCCCACCATGCCTAAATAAAGGCAGAACTACTCTAAAAGATGAACTTTCTCATGCATAGTTTCTGGTATGGTAGAAATAATTTAGTGCTGGCTCACCATTATTTAATTAACTTTTCCAAACCCCTTTAATATTGTTAAACTGCAAAAGGAAAAACATAAATAATTTAGTTTTACTCAAACATTTAACTATGTAACTGCTGGAGTTGTGCTTTGTGGTATAGACGGAATGAAAAATGTGTTCCAACAGAGTACAAATGAGAAGAAAATGAGTTGCAAAGCAAGTCAGCGTACATTATATCATTTGAGTGTTGGCTAACTTTGAAGCCTGTTTTCCTTGTGCATGTTTAAATCTATTCTTATTCCTAATTTTTCTTTTTACATGATGTGATTTTCTTCTTTGTAGTGATGGTGGTGTTAATAATCAATTCGCTAAATTATGAAGTCTTTACTGGCTGATGTGTATGCATATGTTTTTTGCAAGTGGGATGCAATAATAGAGGTTATAACATAGGACTAAAGATAATTTAAGCATTTGCAAAAACAGCAAGTATTATGTAATTTTTTTAATAAAAGGCTGTATGTCAAGTTCTTTATACTACAGTTAAATAAAACTAAATGAGTGTTACCTGTTGTAACTGTCTTTTTGTTTTTTGTTTTTTCTTATTTTATGCACAAAAAAAGCCAGCCAAGAGGTCCAGCGAACCTTGCATTCTTTTGTACATAAATATTTGGCGGCCCTATCAGCAACCAAAGCCCTATTTATGAACTTATTAATTATAAATTAACCAATTTAATATAAAATTAGAATTAGAAAAATAATTATTGGCAATGCTAGTTTATTCATATACCACATTTCAGTGGGAATGCATTTCATAGTGCTGCACAAAAATTAGATAACTCTAAGGCTAGTAAAGATTTTTCCATTAGTTGCTTGGAAAGGTATAAGTAATCCCTTAGATGCCATTGTTTAATGAATTAAGCTTTTTTTTTCTTTCAATTGACGCTCCCATTTAATTATTAAATCTTTAAAAAGATGCTTACTATCTAAATAGGAGATACAGTGTTTGCACTTTCAATGAAGAAAGATGTTTTTGATAAAAAAAAAAATAAACATTACTAATTATTTTATCTATATGTGTAAACAAACCATGTTTTTTTTGCACTGTAAGATATTAAAAAGAAATTGAGTATGTATTTTAATATCTTAGAGTGCAGATGTACGGGCCTGACTCAGTATATATATTTGGATGGTGGATGGCTGAATGCAGGCATGGATTTAGACATCTGTATGTGGTGGGTTGAAGTGGGGGGACGTGGCGGACTGGGCGTTAAGTTGGTGCAGCTCTGAGTTTGGCTGCTGTCCCCTTCTGCTGCCTCTGGGTGGAGATGTCTATGCCTAGCAATATTGGCATTGGCTTCTCTAAGGCATCTCTTGGTTTTCTTTGTGGTTGCTTCCCTGCTGTAACATGGTTGTTGGGGTTGGCCTGCCAGGTGGCCTGCCAAATAGCCTGCTTCATCCCTCTGCTGATATAGGTAATTCTGGTCTTTGTATGATGAGTGTATGTGTGCATATGTCTGGCTGCTGGGTGTCAAGGATTGGACTGGCCAGCTCTTTTGGGTCAGGTGTGCCATGCCATCTGCCTTGGCTTTGGTGTGTTTCTTGCTCTGTTATCCTTTGATCTGGCTGTGGCAGTCAAGATTATGACCAGGATGGGTCCTCCCATGCTTGTGGTGCCTTATGCCCCAATTTTAATGAACGAACTAGTCAGCATTATTAATGACTTCAGCAAAACCTACATCCTCTCCACTGTCGCTACAAGCATGCTTAGTGTGAGGGATTGTATTTGAGTCAATGAGTCAATGCAATCAACTGGTTTTCCTTAGATAGAAAACTTGAGGATCAGGACAAACAGACTCAAGAACAGTTTCTTCCCCCAAGCCATTGCCGCCCTCAACTCCGACCTGCAATGACGGACTCTTTTCACCTGTTTTGCATTATTCCCTAAGCCATTGCCCCCCTCAACTCCGACCTGCACTGTCGGTCACTTTACACCTGTTTTGCACTATTCCCCCCCACAATCTGTGCCAGAACTGTTTACATTTCCTTTTCCTTTTAATATATTTATATTTTTTTATTTATTTTATGGTAGCTGAAATGGAAGTCCCAAAAATCTCATTGTATCCGTTGCAGAATATGATGACAATAAAGGCTTTTTGACTTTGATCTGGTTTAACTGTAAAGTGCCTTGAGATGACATGTGTTGTGAATTTGGCGCTATATAAATAAACTGAATTGAATTGAATATGTGGTACATCAAGGTGGGCATATCTGGGGCACTGGAGGTGGGTCAGCTTTTATGGCTTTGCCTCGGATTCTCATGCCCACCTGCGTCTTTTGGAATGCATTTAGAAACTTCGGGTTTAGGGTTTCAGAGTTGGGGGGCACACCTAATCTCCCCTGCCTTTTAAATACACAGTAGTCCAACTGGCAACTACATCCCAGCAGGAGACAGATGTCCCTCCTAGGGGTGGGCCTGGGGTGGTGCCCAGGGATAGACCTGGGTTCTTTTGCCTTGTATGGCACCTGGTCTCAGCCCCTTTTCTTTGTTTTTAAGAGCTCAAACCTCCTGCCCCCTTCCCACAATAAGGGCACTGGGGATCTCCTCCTGTCCATGGGGTCCTGTTCCCTCTGGCCCCTACACCAGAGAGGATAGTGTTTTTATGAGGAGTGTAGGGATATGTTTAGTGTTTGCTTCTGAATTTGTCTCCATTTAGAGCTTGTATATATCTGTACGGGTGAAAGTGTTGAATTGTGTGTAAGTGACTGGATGGATGTGAATATGTCTTGGTCTACTTGTCAGGTTTAAAGGGGTCATAGAATGATTATATAAGGTATTTGGTGCTGGTCGTTAAGGTCTCTGAATAGGGTGTGTAACATTGGTTGTGCTGAAAATCGCATATTTGCTGTTCTATGAACCTTAATGCAAGCCTGGTTAAAAGCTGTTGAATGAAATGAGAGGTTTTCTTCCTTTTATGGTATGTTCAGGAATATTTAGATGAGCTTAGCGCTGATTGATTGGTTTACAACGAGCGAAGCTACTGAGCATAGACGCTTCATAGCAGCAAGCAGTCACTTACTGAAACATCAAAATTGTTGATATGGTAGGGTGACCAGATGTCCCCTTTTTCCCGGACATGTCCTACTTTTCATACCTAAAAAATGTCCGGGGGGAATTTCAAAATTGTCCGGGATTTTGGTCGACTGCAGTGCAGCATGTAGGCGAAACAGGGAGCCAGCTGCGACCAAACCTGACCCGGTGATGGTAGCCTGGACAACGGCAGCCCTGCACCTCACCAGGCAAGCGGGGGGAAGCATACCATCACTGGGTCAGTTTTCGGTCGTTTCATCCCCCTCTGGGGCCGGGACCAAAAGTGTCCTCCTTTTCAGAAACCCAAATGTGGTCACCCCTGAGATGCCAGCTTGCGGATGCGATGGCCTTATGGTTGGAACAGCCCCTCGTTTAAGTAAAAGAAGTTTAGCAAATCCTGCTTTGAGCTGTCCAAGATTTTGAAAGCTGTCTTTGGTAAAATGCTTAGAGCAAATGAACATCTGAGCATCAAACTTTGCAGCGATCTTCTAAAAGACAAAAATAATCCAATAATCCATGCCTGTCAAGTCTTCGGATCCTGTGAAAAATGTCCCCTTCCTCCGTGCAGCCGGGAACACTGCATTTACGCCCGTGTTTCTGGCTCATTTGAATAATAAAACTGCCTGCTTTGTAATTCTTGTGGAAGTAAACCCAATTTTAGGCTGAACAGCTAAACTGGTGTCTTACATCTACCTCTATTCATGTTCTTGGGCCAGTGAACCAGTGGGTTGCTCTGTATGTAAATTTTGGGGATTGACAAAAGTACAGGCCAGAACCAAATAAGGCAACATCCCCGAATTTACTTCAATTCGGTGCTTCATTAGAATTCGCCCGTTTTATGGTGGAACTTGTGAGATTTGGAGGGAAAGGAGAAGTCGATGGGGTTTGAACTTCTCTGTACGTCACCCACTGAACTATCTTTATTCATATATGACAATGTAAACTCGGTTTTGCATTCTATGACCCCTTTAAGGGCTTGACTCCCCTCCAACCTACTGGAAGATCCTAAGCCCCACCTTTATGCTGGACCTGTTTCCTCTCTCTTCTTATGTTCCCCACCTGTGAGAAATGCATGCGTCTGCTGGTTCACTGATGGTTCTCTAGATCCTTTCTAGTTGGGTACTTTGGTTGAGTAAAGTAAGCATTATAGCATTTATAATGGACAATCTCTACCCCATTTCAGCTGTTAGGAACACATAGTTTCAAATAAATAAATTGTAGTACTCTGTGGTACAGCAGATGCACTAGTGCTGCAGTTGCAGCTGCACAAGTCTCTGACAGTTGCTTTCAGAGCCTGGTAAGCCAGACAAAGACACAAACACTATCCTTACGGCTGAACTCTGGCAGAAGGTTCTAGAGCAAGATCAGGACACAAATCAGCAACAGTTTTTTCTTGCAGCCTACACGGCTCCTAATCCCAAGAAAAACCTTTGCCTAGAACTGAATGGATCATCTACTTTCTTTTTCATGTGGACATGTAAATCTGTGCACATGCACAGGTGCACACATTTGTATGTCAGAGTGTGTACAAATTAATCCTTTGTTTGTGAGAATTTATTATTTTATTTTTGTTATTTTATCACTTTATTCCTTTATTTATTTGGCTTTTTTATTGAACTTTGTTGTTAATTGACACCAAATGATTAGGCTTTTATTCATCATTAACTTTCTACTTCTGCAGGTTGTATATACACAATATATATATACAATAATATAGATTAAATCAAATTAGGATTTACCAGAATATATATAAAAAGTTCTATGATGTTTAAAGAAACTAATTAAATGTTTTGCTTTTTAATAGATAAAAAGGCTCTTTTTAGCCCTTTTAGCCTTTAGAAATTCCTTACTTAAGATTTTAAGAAACTCTTGTGGACATTAGTAATTTTTTACTTTTTGGTAAAATGTAAAAAACCCTTTGGTATTTATCAGCTTTTGGTTGTAACTATGATATGGCATTAGTATAAGATAAGACAATGATTAGATATAAGATAAGATAATGATTGTAGTAATGCAGCTCTGAAGAAAGCAGAGAGAAGAAAGAGCAGGGTAAAAGAAAGTCAGGGCTTACACTGCTTCACTTTCCCTCATAGATTTGCCTTGAAGAGCAAAGTTTATAAAGATATAATTAATTCACAATTGACTACTTAAAATTTAGACCAATTATTAATGATGATACCTTAGTTCTATCCAAACATCAAGATTGTGTGCATTGTGAAGGAGATTAACTAGAAAAAGCAACCTTTTGATTACTGATCTTTCATTGAATAACCGAACCAGACGGATAGGGGTTTAGATTATTACATGAAAATATACATAGAAGAAAGTTTCTCTCCATTTCTAAACTTTATCATCTTTCTCTCTAGTGATTCTGTATCTGTTCTAAATGCCCAGGCCATTTTTTGTCCCAGTCCAGCCTTGGTAGCACGTCTGGGTATCAATTGGCAAATGGACATATAGTGCTTATTTATTTTAC